GATTCAGAGAGCCCAGCCCATTCCTTCTCTTCTCCAGTCTTTGGTACTGGAGAGATGGGGGGAGGAGGGCCATGGAGGCAAGATCTGCGTTCTTCATATGGTTTGGGGTTTTGTTGGATATCTTTGTGAGTAGCTACAGATAACTGTAACTAGTCCTAAATTGTTTTTTAGCAGTCTTTTAAACTTTGAAATAAAATTGAAAAAAAGGATACTGTTGTGCTATATGCTGGCTAAAACTTATTTGGTGGCCTGAGTGCAGCTAACTCAAAATAGGGCGAAACAAATTGGCACAAGGTAGGCAGTGGCTGGGTAGAAGCCTTACTGAAAAGGACCTGGGGGTGAGGGTGGGTATCAGGCTCAATAAGAGTCAGCAGTGGCTCTAATTGCATAACATCACCCAGTACATGGGTGATGCGTAGGAATGTGGTCAGTAGGTTGAGGGAAGCTGTTGCCAGAAACCTGCTCAGTGTCTGCCTGCTATCATCTGGCAGATGGCGTAGACACTTTTTGAAAAATACCCATCCACCTTGTTGCTGCAGCCCCTCCTCTTAATCGTCACTGTCCTGCTCCCTGCCCAGGGCACTCCTCATGCCCAGGATGGGCCAGGAGGGTCCTGGGAGAGGCTGCCTCTCTTGGGTTGGAGGCCCTGCAATCCTTGCTGAAGTGTAGACTACCCTGGCTAGTGCTAGGTCAGCTGAGCCGTGCTTGGTGCTGCAGGTTCCTTGTCTCAGCCAGAAATCATTGCTGTGTTTCTTGCTTGCTCTTGTGTGGAGGAAGCCAGAGGCCTGCAGATGGCAGGTCACTTGCTTCAAATCCCTGCCTGCCCTGAAGTACACCTCTGCCAAGCTTTATGTGGTGGAGGTGTGTAAGGCTGGTCTAGCCACCCTTGCTGGGGGAAGTTTGGGTGTGAAACAGGTGTATCAGCATTGGTTCCTGCCTCTGTCCTCCTGTCCCACAGCAGGTACAGCCCAGGCCTGGCCCCTTTTCTCTGTCCAGTAAACTAACTGCTGGATGTTGCGGCGCTTTGAAAAGCGCCAATTGATGCGTGTAATTCAGCAGCCCTCAGCTGGATTAAATTGCCACAGTGTGGCTGAGGAGACGATCTGAGTTTCCTGGAGTCTGTTCCCAGCCTTGGGTTCTCCCATGCAACTGTCTGACAAAACAGAGTGGGAGAGATTTCCCTGAGTGCACGCACACCAGCCCCCGTGCGCCCAGATCCCCCGTGCGCACGTGTGCCCTACTACAGAGGTGCTTGGCAAAGGCTGAGCAGAGGATGAGGGGGTGGAAGTGAGGGCCTAGCCTGAGCATGACCCCCTTGGCAGCTCCTCTTCAGTGAAAGTCAGGCTGAGGCTAGCCTGCCACCCAGAGCTGCTGCAGGTTTTAATTCATTAACGTTCTGCAAAGCATTGATGATAAGAGGTGATCAGCAGGATTTGGGAAGTGGAAATTAGGAGAGCTGGGGCTAATTCTGCTCTCCTACTCTCTGCTCTACAATCCTGGGCACATCCTTCCCTTGTTCTGCCTTCACTTCCACTTCTAAATGCTTTTGACCCCCTTTTGCACAATAACGGGGGCTTTGAGATGAAAAGCAAAGCAACCATTGTTTAGTATGTCTTTGGAGTGTGTGGGGAGGGTGCCCATTGAAATAACGTGAGTCACTGCTTAAAATACTCAACAAACTTCAAGGCAAAGCAAGGCAGGTGCTTTTGCTGTTGCATTTGTGCTGCAGAGCTACAACCAGGTACCCCAAGGCTTTTGTTACCAGCAGGCACGTGAGTCCTGGTGGGAGCAGGGGAAGGTGGGAGCAGATCCAGAGGGCAGGTGCTTGGGAGAAGGAATCCAGTGCAAGAGCAACAGCTAGTCCCACCCTGCACTGAGACTATGCTGAGGGCATAATTCATGTGGCTCCCGAGTTCCCTGCAGCTCTCCTTGTCTGGAGGGATAGTCTGGGTGCTACAGTGCAGGGAATCATTTCCTTGGGTTCCTCACAATCCTAACTCTAACATCACCGAGCAGGCAGGGGGTGGAAGGGGAAGGTGGGGTAGAGCCCTGGCCTGGCAATGCCCACTGGACTGAGAGGAGGTGGCATGAGGTACGGGACTCAACGTGGCTCCTGGTTGCTAGCAACCCCGTGGAGGATGGAGCCAGGTCCTCACTGGCAGCATGATGGAGCGAGAGGCAGCAGGTCCAGCTGCTGCAGAAGCAACTATCCCTGAGGCAACTCAGGAGGAATTCAGCTGAGGTGGTAAAATGAAATGGAGAAACGGAATTAATTCATTTCTCCATTTCATGGATCAAAAATGTTTAAATGCAAAATCATTTCCGCTGGAGGAGTGTGAGGGCTGGGGAGTGAAGGGGGGGGGGCTAGGGCTCAGGACCCCCCATCTTAGTCCTTTCTAGGGGCTTGACCACAGCTCAGCTGAGGTCAACCCCAACATGATGCTCTCTAGGGCTTTCTCTGCCAGGGTTGCTTGTGCTGCAGCCAGGCGAGGTGAAGGAAGGCGAGCAGATCTATTTTAAATGAGCCTCTGGCTCAGTCCAGCCTGGAGCCAAGATGTTCTCATTTATACTCAGAGGAAAAGAGGTGGCTGCTGCTCCCCAGGAGGTTTTGCACTGACCCAATTGTGCAGCACACGAGCCACGTCAGTCCAGCACTGCAGATGATATGGACAACCAGGGGTGATCCTGGCCACCACCACTCTGGCTTGCTCCTGTTTAGCCCTCCAGCACTCCTGGGACCCCCTTCTCCTGCAGGAATCTGGTCCTGGGGCAATATCCCCATCCCCTGAGAGAAGGCTGTGCCCAGATAACAGAGCCCAGTTTTCCTGCAGGAAACTCAGAAGAGTGGGAGGCAGCAGTCTCACTGCCACTGAAACGGCCCCCAAATTCAGTTGTAGGTTTGCAGCTGGCATAAGATGCAGGTGAGATGTCAAGTGCCTCCCGTGGCTTCACGCTGCTCTTCCACACTCCTCTTTTCCTCCTTGCTAGCATCCCGTGGCTCCGAGGAGGGCAGGACAGCACGAGGTGGCCCAGCACAACTATCCAAGAGGTCAAGAAGGATCCTGCATCCGTCTGGCCCTGTCGGTCAGGAGCTGATGAGCAGCCAGAAATGTGTATTGGTACCTCAGTCTTGCATATATGACAGCTACAGGGTTAAGGCACTCCAGATTGAACCAGGACCCACGGATTGAGCACCCAGCTCCCAGAGACAGAGCCAGGTCCTCACAGGTGTGGTCTCACCCCTTGCCAACCAGCCAATGTCCTGCCAGCCCAGCTCCCCCTGCCCGGGTCATCAGGAAGGAAGGGAGTTGGACCATCTCATGGTCATCTTTGCAGGGATGCTGTGTTTTGCAGTGTGCTTTCTCGTGGAGCGCCCTTGCTCCTGCGTCATGGCTCAGTCAGCTGAGAGAGCCTTGTTCCTGTGGTGGGAGCTGTCTACCTGGCCACGGGCAGAGCACGTGTGTGATGCCCAGGCTCAGAGACCATCAGGGCCTCCCTGCAATCCCCCCAAGCTCTGTGCTCTGTGATTGCCCCCTCAGAGCCAAGCTCTTAGACAGCCCTCCCAGCACCCTGAGGGCACTAATATGCTTTATTTCCCCTGAGGCTCCCCACCTCTGCCCATGAAGGCCCAGGAGCTCTGTTTAAGCCTGGGCATCCAGCACTTGCCTGAGCTGTGCTGTAGGTGTGCTTGTCTTCCTGCAGTTACTGGTTGCCCAGAGAGCTTGTGGAGTCTCCATCCTTGGAGATAACTCAGAAAGCAAATAGACACAGTCCAACCTGCTCCAGTTGACCCTGCTTCGGGGGGGAGGGGATGGACTAGATAATCTTCAGAGGTCCCTTCCAACCTCAATGGTTCTGTGATTTTGTCGCCTGTCCTGCCCCTGGCCCCGTCTCCTGGATCGACCTCGGAGCTATGCGGTAGGTAGCTTGTCTCCAGCCCTGTCCCCTGGATGAGCCTTGAACCAACATTGCAGCCTTATCTCAGGCTATTCTCCAGCCCCATCTCCTGCTGCCAAACTCATCCAGAAAGGTCAAAGCCATTGCATCCTGGAGCCTCTGTCCAGTCCACCGGTCCTGGAGACCTGACAGAGAAACAAAATCAGCCCTGTGTTGCTGCCTGTGTCCCGGGGGGCTGATCCCAGCCTGGACCATGGCAAGCCATGGCCCTATGGCCTGCGGCAGCGAAACACCAGCCCTGGTACCGTTTGGGTGCTTGGTACCTGCTGGGGGCCTTGGCATCCACTGGGGGCTCGATACCGGTTGGGGGCTTGGTACCGGTCGGGGGTCTCCAGAACCGGTTAAGGGCACTGGTACTGGCTGGGAGGGCTCCGGTACCGGTAGCGCTTGGGGCCCCGTGCCGGGTGCGGGG